GGAGAAGCTGCTGCAACTGGCTCTTTGGCGCATTGCCCTCTGAACAGATGATCCTACAGGCAGACCTTGCTCCTGGCCACAGCTGCACAGATTTGGAGCCAGTGCACCATACCCAGTGAAGTTACTCCAAGTTTAGACAAGCACAGACCTCTGCAGCCCCTGCACTCACCTGGTACGGTTCATCTCAATCTTACAGGGATCCAACTCAACATACTTCTTCTCCTCAAAGATGCGGTTTATGATTGGCTTGAGGACCTCGCTGAGGTACGGCATCCCAACCACCTGCAGGGAACAAGAAGGGTCCAGTGACGAGAGAGAAATGGGGGGGAAGCAAGGACAGGGGAGACCAGGAAGTGAAGAGAAAAAGGAAGGAAGGCTGAAGAGAAGCCAGAATGAAATGGGAGAAGTTTGAGAGAATCCAGAGAAGAGCCACTTGTATTATTAGAGGCCTGAAGAGCAAGCCATATGAGGAAAGGCTGACAGATATGGGACTATTCAACCTAGAAAAGAGAAAACTTTGGGGGGATTGGCGGCAGCTTATAAATATATCAGGGGAGAGCATCAGGGGCTAGGTGAACAACTATTCACCAAATCATTTTCACCGAAGTGCCCCAGGGGAAAACCAAGAGCAACGGTCATAAACTCCTAGAAAACTTTTAGCTCAATGACATGGCACAGATGGGTTATTATTGACAACAGCAGATTTCCCAGAATTTGCTGGGACACTCTCTTGTCTACTCACCTTCATGAACTGCTCCATGGATTTGGAAGCCAGCGAGTTGGAGCGGAAGAGTGTGTTTGGGTCAGCTGGAAGAAAAGAGCACAAGATGGGTTTCCAGACCAGCAGCAACCTGGGCATCATTGAACACACTGGACTGACTGCTCCCATGGCACTGAGCACCACAGTGCCTTGTGCGCCGACTCCATCCCACAATGCGCTGCAAGACTAAGCCTCCCCAGGCACTGTTCCAGCAGCAATGGGCAAAGGCAAAGGTACCTTAAGGCAAACTGTCACTGCTTTCAGCCTGTAGGCCAGTGGCAGAGGGAAAGAGAGAAAGATACTGAAAGGAGCAAGCAAAGGGCAGCAGATGGGTCTTCAGAGGAGACTGGAAAGGCTCCAGCACATATGAGGAGAAGGGTATGTTAGAACAACCCTGAGGCAGCTCTGATTTACATGGGAGGTTGGGCAGGCCCTGGAATACAAAGACACCTTAAAGCAGGGATGGGCAATTATTTGGGCTGGAAGGCCACTTGGGGAGTTTTGGTGAGCTGTTGCAGACCAGTTCAGGTCAGGTCAGCACCACCTTCCCCACCCCCTCCACGCACAATAGCTCACCAAAACTCCCCAGATGGCTCTGCCTGGCACTCAGCCTGGTGAATGGGATGGGGCTGTGGGCAGAGAATGGCATTCAGGAGCCAGATGTGTGGGTAGGGCTGTGGGCAGGGCTGGGATCAGGATCACTGGATAGTGACAATGTGGGGCTGTGGCCTGGGGCACAGCCATGATCCACTGCCTGCAATTCCCTGTGACAGGCACTGGTTCCATGGGCAGGACTGTGCAGCTGAGCACGTGGGATGAGGCCGTGGGCAAGTGGGGTGTGGCGTCTGGGAGCAGGACAGGCAGGCAGTGCCAGGGCCAGGACCAGGATCAGGATCATGGGGTGGTGACAGCACCAAGACTGAGCCACAATCTGCTTCTTACACATCCCTGCCCGCAGAACCAGCACCCATCACCAGGACATGTGGGTAGTGGATCTTGGTTCTGTCCTATGATCTTGACCCCGGCTCCAGCCCCAGCCCTGGCCCCACCCGCCTGTCTGGTTCCCAGATGCTGCTTCCTGCCTGCCTGCAACCCTGTCCATCTGCTCGCGTCCTGCTCCATCCAGTAGACCTGGCAGCAGGTGTGGGGTGGACAGGCTGGGGTGCCCGGGCAACAGGCTCAGATCCAGCAGTGGCAAAGACTGGCAGTGACAGCCACAAGGAGCCACTGCTGTGAGGGCTGCCAGGAAGCGAACCCATCTGCCGTGCTGCCCCAGCCCTGCTGCACACTGGGGGGCAGTGGGACTGGCTGCAGAAGCCATGGCCTGGTTTTCTCTCCCCCATGCCTGGACCAGGTGAGGCTGAGGGCCCCACTGTGGGCTGAACAAAATCACTTGGTGGGCTAGATCTGGCCCATGGGCCATATTTTGCCCACAGCTACCTTAAAGCCACAAGGAGCTTCCCTTCAGCCCTACTTCAAGGGCAGGAAAGGCATAAGTGAGAACGAGGGCTTAATGTCATCCATGCTCATCCCTACCACGTACCAAGTCTCAGGTAGACACAAGTAGACAGGCCACTGCCCATGGGCTTCATCCTGCAGGGTCAGGCAGGCAGCCAAGAGAGCACCCTGATCACTATGACCACCCTGCCCAGCTGCACAACCCTAGACATAGCTCCTGCTATGGCCTGGTGCCTGTCACCACCTAGGTACTGACACCAGCTGGCACCAGGCTCACTGGCACCACCCACGCACTGCTATCAATGGGTGCTGAGGTGATAGGATGTTCCCTTGGCAAATGCTCACCAAGTGTTAGGGACAGATTACAGCTGGCTGGATACAGAATTCAGATCTGAACCACAGACGGGGTGCCTGGATCCAGAGCCCAGTTCAGCCCACTACAAAGGCAGGGCAAGCATGATCTTCTGAACTAGATTATACGCACCTGAGGGGAGAGGGCCTTGTCACTCTTATTTTTTAGTTTTTGGTAGTCTAGATCTTGACACTGGAATTCCACCGTGCCTGGTACTGTACAGACACATAAGGAACGAGCCTCTGTAGGGTACAGGCCCTACCATGTCATGATACAAGACAGAGGAGGGGAAAACTGACTTGCCTAAGGTCACACAGTAGATCAGTGGCAGAAGGAGGAATTGAACCCCAGCATCCTGGCTCCCAACCCAGTGCCCCAGACACCCAGCTTGGCATCACACTGGCCTCACACCAGCTCTTCCTCAGGAGGAGAGAAGATGCACTTGGGCTGGCTTCCACAATGCTGGCCCAGCAAAGCCTTCCTGGCCCCACAGACTCCCAGAGGAAGGCTAGAACTGTCTTCAAACCATCTCCATCTGTCAAACAGTGCCAAGTGTGGGGCTTATGCTTTGTTTATATTTGATGTAGTTAGTCTATAAGGTGCACATCTACCCTGAATTCTGCATCAAATGTGCTCAGTGTTTAGGTCCCATGGCCCATTCTCCTGTCCCCACCACTCACCACAGAGTCTGGGGGTCTCTATGGAAACACAAGAAGAGTACCTTAGGCCCAAACAAGAAGCACTAGTAGAGCTGAGGAAAGCAGTCAATGATGGGTGAGGATGGGAGACCTGATTGATCAGGTCCCAGTGTGAAGCAAGGGCTATCTGTGGCTTGAAAAGGGTAGGAGGTTCCCCTCTCCCCACCCAACCCTGGGGCCCATATACTTGGATCCAAGCGGTAGTGTCGCTGGCAGGGCTTGCTCTGATTTCCAACAGGCTTGTGTTCCCAGCAGCAGCAAGAGGAGAGTGACCAGGAAGCGCACAAGGAAGCACCGAGCAGGGAAGGAGGCACAATGAGTTCAAGGCTGACTTCAGTTCTACTAACACTGACCCCATCCCTCTGCTTCCTAAGAGAAGTTATGCCCAGTGCTCTGGGTCAGGGATCAAGGGACCCCACCACACACCACAAAGTCAGGCCTGCTTAGCAGGGTTGTGGTTTCCTTTGGGTCCCCTTCAGTCAGGGCCTGGGATCCAAGAGCTCTCAGGAGGCCCAGGGGCCAGCACTTACTGGTCCTGGTCACCTCCCGCAGGTTGAGGTAGTCCAGAAAGGGCACAGCCAGGCCTTGTCCCAGGAAGATTTTCACCAGCTTCATGGCCACATCCTGGCGGCTTTCCACGGAGCTGATCTCCTCCAGGATAGCCAATGGAGTGACGTGCTCCTCCTGCAACACAGTAGGGCAGCAGTGCTGGATGGGCACACCTCCACCACATGCCCTGGAAAGCGCTGGCTCTGTGCTGCCTTGGGGAAGCCACCCACCCTCTCTGCTCCACCTCAGGAAGGGCTGGCTCTGATCCTCCACCTCCTCTGCCCCTTCTCCAGCTGTGCCACTCACTGCAGCAAAGGTCTCACCATCTTATTTGGAAGCCAGCGCTTGCTACTAGGCTTCTGCAACTCAAGGCTGAACCAGCAGAGGGCGCCTGAACCCCCAGCACCTGGCGATGGGCAGCCAGGAGCAGGAGCTGCAGAATGGGCAAGAGGCCGGCAGCAGCTGCAGAGTCCTGCCATGGAGTGTGGTCACTGCCACCCCTGCACCGTGCTGCCCCTAGGAGTGGGTGGGGGTAGGAACTATTAGGAGGTTTGGCTTGGGGCTGTTCCTTGGGCCTGAGGTTTTGCACCTCATTTCAGCCCTAGCGAAGCATCTCCTGTCAGCAATTGGACCCATGGAGGGCAGGAGTCTGGGGAGCCCTGGGCTGGAAGCATCTACAGCTTGTGCCTTCAGGTTCATAGAATCACAGAAAATTAGGGTTGGAAGGGACCTTAGGAGGTCATCTAGTCCAGCCCCTTGCTCAAAGCGGGACCATCTCCAACTAGATCATTTCAGCCAGGGCTTTCTCTAGCTGGGTCTTAGAAACCTCCAAGAATGGAGATTCCATTCCTCTTTAGGTAACCCATTCCAGTGCTTTACTACCCTCCTAGTGAGAAAGTTTTTCCTAATATCCAACCTAAACTTCCCTTGTTGCAACTTGAGACCATTGCTCCTTGTTCTGTCATCTGATACCCTTGAGAACAGTCTCGCTCCATCCTCTATGAAACCACCCTTCAGGTAATTAAAGGATGCTATCATCAAATCCCCCCTCAGTCTTCTCTTCTGTATACTAAATAAGCCCACTTCTTTCAGCCTTTCCTCAGAAGTCAGTGCCCTAGCTCCCTAACCATTTTCTTTGCCTTTCACTCGATTGTCTCCAATTTATCCACATCCTTTCTGTAGTGGGGGGCCCAAAACTAGACACAGGACTCCAGATGTGGCCGCACCAGTGCTGAACAGAGGGTAATAATCACTTCCCTTGACCTGCTGGCAACACTCCTACTAATGCAGCCCAGTATGCCATTAGCCTTCTTGGTAACAAAGGCACACCGTTGGCTCAGATCCAGCTTATTGCCCACTATAACCCCTAGGTCCTTATTCTGCAGAATCCAGAGCAAGTAACCTGTCATCCAGAGATGACTGGTGCACCCCACACCCACAGCCAGCCCTGGATCCAACCCCATGACACTGCCTAGGGACAAGCCATAGATCTGTATGGACCTGACCCACTCCCATTCCCCAACTGCCCCACACTTCCAGCCAGGCAGGGCTTTAAATGGACCCTTGTTCCCAAGGCAAGGACCCCCCTGAAGTGCACGGATGTATTTATTGAGTGTGAGAGGAGGGGAGGACAGGCAGCCTGTTAGCTGGAGATTTATCTGTCTGCAATTATCACTCTAAAGGCTTTGCACTTCCCTATGCCCATATATGCAGCCAGGGCAAGGGAGAAGAGCTGCTTTCTGCTTTTAATCTTCATTTCTCCCTGGGGTTAACCCTTTGCCATCTGGATACCCCACTGCAGAGCACTCTGGGGTGAGGATGCTTTAAAGGGGGTATATTGGGTCCACAGGATATTGGTTTTAGGGGGCTGGTTCTGACCCACATCCCAGGTTCAGTATAATACAGGAGACCTGTGGGTGGGTCTGTGGGAAAAGAGATGCAGAGGAGATACATGGGGATGAGCATGAGATAATTTGGATTGGGTTGGGCTGGGCAGAGAGCAAGGTTATGCCCATGCCATTTGGGTCACTGCTGACTTCCTACTCCTGTAAGGCTGCCATCTCCTTGCTCAAAAGAGATACCTCAGAGCCTGCTCCAGGCTGAAGAGTGGAGACCAACAACTGCCAGGCTGCTCCAGTGAGCCCTGCATCCCCTGGAAACACTGCCTGTGATGCTGGTGGGTGCTAGATCAGACCTCTGAAACAGGGGCAGAGAAGAAGGTCCAAGGACCTGGGAGGAAGCTGGGAGAGTTCCCAGGGAGCCTAGGCAGGCTTCCTGCCTTGAGCAGGTGGCTTGACTAGATGACCATCTCTTCCAGCCCTGCTTTCCTATGATCCTATGAGGTATGGGGGCTCTCTCAGCATGGGATGCCTGTGTTCTGCTTCAGGTGGGTGGGCAGGCAGCTCCTTACAGGCACTGCGAGAGTCCTGCAGAGCTGCTGGGCAGGGGCACTGTGACAAGGGCACCCTGTAGCTCCTGCTGGTGCACAGATACTGCAGCAGTAAGAAACTTCCAAGGTCCCCATCCCCTACTCCTACTGCTCTGCACCCTGCCACCATGCCCACTTCCTACCTCTGCTGTTCATCCCCCCTGCTCGTTTTATTAGCACGTGGCTCAGAGAGCCATGGCTGTGTGATGACACCAAACAAGGAAGGCAGCTGGGACCCACCTCAGCCGGGCACAGGATGGATTCCACCAGGAGCTCAATGAGGGGCTGGTAGTACATAGAGGGCAGGATCCGGTCCTCAGCCAGTCGAACTTTCAGCCTCAGGGCACCCAGCTTCCCTCTGCAATGGCACAAGGGGCATCACCCACATACTTGAACCAGGCCAGTGAGCAGCTCATCTCCAGCCAAGACTATGCCCTACCTCTCATACCCAAATACCTTCAAGGCTGAAGCATAAAACCAAAGCCAAGAATCCTCCAGCAGAGCTTGGCCCCTGCCTCATGGCAAGGGAGCTTCCCCTTGGTCATGCTGTGCCTCTTGATATCAGTGTCTCAGCTACAGCACAACACCTGGGCACTGGTGTGCTTCCCCCAAGGGAGGGATATAGTCCCTTTCCCCCACTCCCTCCTTTCAGCAAGGACCCTGTTTTGGTGAGTCACACTGGCATTAGTTACAGAAGCAACAGAGACACCCAGTGACCTTTCCATCCAGCCATCTATTCATCCATCCCTCCGAGTCTCTAACTTTCCTATTTTAAGGCAAGATGAATGGCAGTAAAATGAAGGAGCTCCTCAGAGTTCACTCAGCACTGGAGCATTTCAGTATGTGCTGGAAGATCAGAGCTGCTGCCTGATAGCTCCTGGGTCTGCTCCACTCCAGACTCAAAGCCCCAACCCAGCATGGGCTTATCTGAAAACAGCTAAGCAGTCTGGCTGGCTCCTGCTAGGTCAGGAGCAAAAGGGGCAAGGGTCATTTTGCATTAACAGACCCCAGGGACTGGGGGAGGAAGCAAAACTCACACTATTCAAATGCAAAGGCAGCTCCTTCACCTCTTCAGTGCCCATTGAGCATGCATGGGAAGGTGACAGAAGCTCTGGAGATAAATGACTCCTCTGAGGGCAGGCAGTGTCAGAAAGCCACACTCTACAGTTGTGGAAACTGAGGCACAGGACAGAGACATGATTCACCCAAGATGAGAACACGGATGGAAGGCAGCTGGGAACAGGATCCGGGAGACAACTGACGACTGCAATGCTCTGCTCCTGAACCGCAGGTCCCCTCCCAGACTGGAGCAAAGAACCCAGGAGTCCCAAGTGCCGACCTCTGCTCCACCTTAACCAGAGCCAGGACCCTAACCCGTGCTTTCTCTCTCTGCTCTTTCGTTCGAGTGCTAAAGGTGGCACCCAAGGCTCACTGTTTTTACTGTTTACCCAGCATCTTCCTCAGCACTGGGGAAGGGCAGGAGCCTGAACCAGCCTTTGACGGGGGATTTCTGCAGGGTGTCCAGAGAGAACTCAACCTGTGTGGGCAGAGAGAGAGGGGGGACAGTAAAGAAACAGGAACTCACAGGGAACAACACAGCAGCATAGCAAGGACAGTTCACACTGTAACCCTAGCCAACCCCTCCTGCAGGTCCCCCAACCCAGGGGACACACAGGGCCTCTGAGTAGCTGCCAGTTTCATTCATCCTCACGCCCGTTTTGCTGCCATTCTCAGGGCCGTTCTAGTGTCATGCACTGACTCCTATGTCCACCTGTCGAACCCTGCAGAGCCAGCATGCTCCAGCCCTGGGACAGGAGGCTGAATGCTTCTTCTGCACCACAAACATACGTAGGCTCCCTCAGTAGCACTAGAATAGGGCAAACTGTTCCCCAGAAGGGCACATGGCTGTCCATGAAGAGGAGCTGTGGTTATGGGCAGATCAGGGCTGTAGGAATCAAATCCAAAGAAGATACAGAGCAGGGCCCAGACACGCATCCTCCCGATTGTACTCTGCTTGCTGAGCCGGTCAGGACACAGCGCAGTGAGCTAGGTTGCAGTCGATTCTCGCAGGCCCCTCAGAGCAGCAGCCACCATCAGAACAACTACAGCCCTGGGGGGACTTCAGACCCAAGACCCCTGCTACCTGTTACCTTCTGTTGTAACCAAGACTGGGGTTACAGTCTCACAAACACAAAGCAGGGGGTGAGGGGTGGGGTGGGGAGTAATGCTGTGACTAATCCCCAGGGCCCATCAGCTCTAACAACATAAACCTCCCTCTCCAGAGCACCAGGAGCTGTCCTTTCACCAGTACCTGCAACAGCCTCTCTGTGGAGCCAGTTAGTAAAAGGCACCCCGTTTCAAGACACCTCCAGAGACCCTCCGCCAAATCCCCTCAGTTCACAAAGCAGGGAAGCTCTCTCTGCCAGTTCCCGTCTCCCCAGGCTGTTTCCCTGGCAGGAGGCTAGTGCCAGTCTGGCTGGGCTGAGACACCTCATGTGGGCTCCCTTCCTCCTTCAGGCAGCAATGTGGGGGTCAGGTGAACTGGGCAACACAGTCTGGTCCCTGCTGCTGCCAGGACACAACATTATGTTCCCTGGAGAGCACACGCGCAGTGATTCATAACCATTAGCCTATGTCTGCGTTGGCTTCTCTGGGGCCCTGATTTTTGCTTGCACTAGGGCGCTTCACGCCTTGCTGGCAGAGTAAACTGGCCTTAAAGTGCATGAAACTGGCCCTTTGAGAGCTGACCCAGAGCTAGGCTCACAGGATGCCATTACAGGTGGGCATTTCCTCCCACTGTGAGCATCCTGCCCTGACCATGAGCAGCACTGCCCTGGTGGGACAGGGACTCCTGCTCCTCACATGTCTGAAGGTGGAGGCTTTAGCCCTTTAAGTTGTTGGCCTCCTCTCTCCCACGCCCCTCATCACCCCCTAACCCTGCTGGGAGCATGCTGGCTGCCTCCCCTCCCTGCATCCCAAGGCCATTGCCAGGGCTGCTCACCTGTCCCAGGAAGTCATTCTTCCCCACCATGTCCCAATCCCACACCTCCATGCTCAGAAGGGGGCCTCTGGTCTCCTTCTCCAGCTCCCTCTCCTCCAGGTCAAACTCCAGCACCTCGTCCCAGTGGGGGAACCGAGTCTTCTTAATGATCTGCAGGGGGACAGAGCAGGTAAGAGTAATTAAAAAAACCAAACAAACAGGCTGGAAGGCAAAGCGGGTCCTGGAAGAACCTCCTGCTCCTGTCGTGTGCACCTCTCCATCAGTCCTCAAATGCCCCAGACAGATGAAGAGAGGGGTGGCAGGAATGGCCTCTGTCTCTGTTGAAAGCAGAGTCCTCCCTGATTTACACAGCAGGCAGGAGGGAAATTTAAGTCTCTCAGCACAGGCAGCCCCATCAGCCCCTGGTTCGTGCATGGAGGGCCCTGCTCTGCCCAGCTCCTCTGATCTCAGCACTGCTTGCTCCCCTGCTGTGGGTTTCAGGACCCCAGGCACATAGACTCACAGGGGGCTTTTCACAGGGAGAACTCCTGGGGCTGCCGTCTGTCCAACAGCAACAGCAAAGGCCTCGTTTCACAGTGTGCTGAGCACCTTCAGTTCATAATGACTGTGACAGGAGATTGGTCAGGATTCAGCCCTGTCCCATCTCCAGGGGGAGATGCTAAAAGGGAGTTCAGCTAGAGGCAAGCACTGCATAGCTAGTCAGCCCTGTCCACCTCCTTCAAGGCCCACTTCCCTTGCCTCTGTGAGCTGCCATCACCATGGCATCTGGGCTATATACTAGAGGGGGTTGGATTAAGGACCTGCAGGAAGCATGCTGAGGTACGGTACCACAAGTCCTCCAGCCCGGGACAGGTTGGGCTGTGCAGGCTTCATAGCCCTGGTGCCACTTCCCTCAGCTCTTTTCCTCAGTGGATCCCCTGAAGCAGAGCAATCCAGTCTACCAGTTGACACTGAAGGAGCTGGGGGGCAGGGAGGGGATGGTCACTCAAGGCAGCTCTTTGCCCCTTCCCTCCTCTAATGCCAAGGTCAGAGAAGATTACAGGTGACTGCAGAGGTCTCTACAGGTGTCCCTGAGCCCTGCTGCCCAAGCTCATCCTGGCAGGATGGAGGGTTATGGAAGCCAAGTGCAATGTTTGGAAAAAACCCAAAGGCTGTTTGGCAAACAGTTGGGTGGTGTAACATAAGGCCCTAATCCCAGCTGAGCCACAGCCCTGGGCCAACCACAAGGAGTGATGGGAGCCAGCAGCATTGTCCTGCAGGAGACGATATGCTTCACAAACCAGTACTGCAACATTCTTCAGTGACAGGCCAAACCATGCAGTTCCTGAGACCTGTTACAGGGGTGAACGGTTTTGAATGCATCGAGGAGCAAGGCTAGAGCCCAGGGTACCTCTAGGCATCCACAATGACAGTCTCTCACCTCATCACTGCTGGCTGGCTCTGACCCTGCAGGCACTTCCCACAATCCCTGGCAGCCCAGCTTCTGCCCCGACCTACAGATACCTCAAAAGGTCTCTTCCCTCCATGAGATAGGAAGTGATGTGAAAGGGGTTGGGGGGAGGGGGCTGGTCCCTTCAGCTCTTGCATGCAGGGAGGTCAGTTGTGAGATCTCATTCCCTTCGCTTAGATGTCACCCAAGGGCACAGCTCACGCCATGTCACATGTCCTGCTCCCTCCATAGCTGCTTATGTTCAGAGCTCAAGCACCATGTGGATGCATGTGAGATAGATACCACTCACCACTGGGGAACTGCTCTCACAGTTCCCGCTCATGCATCATACCCAGGAGCTCCAAGGGAACATAGGGATGCCTAGGATCCACCCAGGACCCCTCTCCTTGCTTCTCAGTCACTGCAGATCAAACCTTTGCAGCCCACACATGCAGCCTGGTCAGAGAATCAGATTCAGAGGGAGACCCTTCTACTCACAGCTGTCTCCAAGGTCTGGCCATTGCAGGACACTCGTGCAAAGGGGTCTGAGGTGCCGGAGATATCCCGGGGAGCCAGATCCCTGGGGAAAGAGGGAATAGGAGAAGGATGGAGGTGAGTGTCTGGTGCCAAGGTGGAAGTCATGAGTATTTGGGGGTGTCTCTGGAGTTGACCTAGGCTGCCCAGCTCAGCGGGGCACTCTGTGAGGACAGAGACTGACAGCTTGTTCTGCATTTGTACGATACTAGAACCATAGCCCTCCGTACGGGGGCTAGACCCAGAGGGATGACTTCGTAGTTCACAGACAAAAGCCTGCCCTTATGCTCACATTTCCAGGGACACATGCTCCTTGCAGAGGATGTAAGCAAGCTGCTGCCATTCATGGAGTTCAGGAAAACAGGCTGCCCCTGAACCAAGGGGGAGGGGAGAGGAGACCTAAGTTGCCCCATCACCCATCAGACAAGGGATGTAGGGCAGGACGGCAGTAAGAGCAGGGATGCACAAAGGACCTGCATGCCCCAGGCTGCTCCCAAAGCACCGCTCCTGTGGGGTGAAAGCAGGGAGAACTAAAGGAACAACTGGGAAAGGGAAAACAACCTGATCCTAGAAAGGGACCACAGCTCAGACCTCAGGCCTTTACCTGCCTTCCCACATACCTTGCCTGTTTTCCTTCCCCTTCCCTCCATCCTTTACCCACCAGGGCCAGGGTCGCTCAGCCAACCTCCTTCTGTTAACGCGGTTAGCCTCCAGCTCCTGTCCTGATGCTTATGCTCCCCCTCTGTTGTGTGTGCAGTGGTCAGTCACAGGCAGCAAAAGGGACTGTCCAGCCTAGTACTCACTGCAGCTGCCAGTTCCAGCCCAAGCAAGGACCCTCACCCTCTCCATCACATCAGGAGATAGAGGTGCTAGGGGGCTGAGAACAGGGCATAGGATCAGAGCCCCATAGGGATGCAGGTGGCAGTGGCAGGGCTTGCCTGCTGCTTTCACTACCAGGCAGTGGGAACCAATATCTATCCCTCTGTGAGCCCCCCAGTTCCAGACATCTCATGAAAGAGCAATACTTCCCATAAGGAGGTAGCACATGGACACCCATTTCTATGAGGAACTGCTTCAGGGACCCTCTACCCTACCACTACCACCCCTGTCTCCTCAGAGCGCGTTCCCTGGGGGAGAGCGGGGTCAGGCTCCTGGCAGCTGTTCACAACAACACCCCCTCTCTCCTGGCTCCTGCCCACTCCCATCCTCCACAGACACATCCTTGTGGCCACTTGGTTGCCTAGGAGCCCACTATGGTTGCTAGGGCAACAGGATGCTTTCTCTGCCTGGCACTGGTCTCTGACAGCCTCCTGTCTGTTGTGTGTGCGCACATCACTGCTCTCTGACAGCCTCCTGTCTGTGTATGTGCATCGGGGCTGGTACCCCACCCTCCAGTAGCAGTAAGCATGGCTGTGCCAGAGCCACAAGATTACATCTCCTTCATCTGGGACCCCACCCTGCTATTTACTCCCCACATTGAGACTCCATCCTCCTAGGGCAAGAAGAGTTAAGACTGCAGCAGAACTCAGGACACTTCGGTTCTAGTCCTGGCTCGGCTGCCACGACCCAGGACAAACCCCTTCACCACTCAGTGTCTCAGCTTTTCCCATCAGCAAGTGGGGATGGTGAGACCTGATTCCTCTGAAAGTGCTTTGAGACGTAAGAGGAGACAAAGAGCAAGAGCCAAGTGGTGTCCATGCTCTGGGAAGGAACTGCAGGCAATGGAAAGCGGGCTGGAAATGAAAGCTATAAAGAATCAGTAGGATAGCATCACCTCACAGCCTGGAAAAGGGGCCATGAAGCTACTGAGGCACTTTATCAATTACTGCGTGAAGAGATTTGTGGGTTAAGGGCACTGATCCTTTCCCCCCAGGACTCCTGAGCACTGTCACTACCCAGCTTTGAACAGTCACATGACATGATGGGTTGGCGTGTGCATGCATGTACCTGAGTGAGTGAGCAAGTATGCGTGTGTGTGGCAGGGTGTCTCAACCTGAGAAGCATCAAACATCC